CTTCCTCCGCCGTCTCCCTCAACATTTTGCCTAACCTCGCCATCCCCCAAAAGGCCACCAGAGCTACCACCACCGCTAAATCGTGGTACTCCGACTTCTCGTTTAAACCTGATACCATATCGAATAGGTCTTGTACCTTTATGGGCTTCTTCTCGGTTGCTCTCTGATCTCCACTCGTAAGTTTCCTCTTCTCCTCCGCTCTTCCCGTCGACTTTATCAACCAATCAATCATTTGCTTATCTAACTTTACTTCCTCGTGATGTTTAGTCATGTGCCATGCTTTCAGGCCTGCCAGATACTTCTCTATTGTTTTTGGTTTTAATTCTCTCCCCGGGCCTGCTCTTTTCTCCACCTCCGACGGTCCAGCCCATACGATAAACCCATACACATCCTTTTCTGTCATCGGTTCCTCATATTTGAATTCTCTTCCCGTGCTCTCTATATAGGCTCTAAACGTTTGCACTGCACTTCCGTAACCCTTCAGCGTTTTCTCCGTCCACGCTCCGCTTATCAGATGTCCCGTCACTTTCTCCGTTTTGCCTTCCTTCCCCTCTACCTTCACCGCTTTCTCAAAACTGACATGTTCCTTCCCCATTCGTGAGTTCTCTATTGTTTCTTGCTTCGTATTCCAGGAATTCGACCAGATCTCTTGGTAGCTCTGGTTTTAGGTAAAAGAAGATGCTCTTATTTCCTCTCAACCCTCTGGATAACTCGTCCGCGTTATTGTCTCCGGATGCGACACGTCTCTCCTCTAGTTCACACCCTAGATATGTTAGCCTCTTTTGCAGTTTCTTCCACTCTTCATTCACCGATCTATCTCTCGATTTCTTATTTCGTATCACTGCTTCCGTTCCTGTATTATCTGTCACTGCCAAGTATCGTTTCCCTTTCGTCTTCTTCAACATTGCCACCATCTCCAGGCCTATCCTCACTGCTACTGTCTCTGCCCATGCGATCCCTCTCTTCACGCCTTCCTTGTTGCTATTCCTCCAACCCGGCTTGAACTTCAGCTGTGTCCAAAATTTTCCTACTATCACCCCAATCCCGTATCCGGTCGACGCGTCTCCGACCCATCCGATGTTGTCAACACCTTTCTTCGGTATCAACTTATGGTTCTTGAAACTCTTCAGCACTTCTCTCCATTCTTCCAGATCCGTTCTTACCGCCTTCGGTAGGTATCGGATCGCTAGTTCGTTCTTCCATGACGCCTTCAGGTGGTGTAAACTCGCGCAGAAACATCTCATCTGGGGTAGCATATATGTTACGTGTACCAACCTGCCTGTCAACTTCTCTATCTCCTTAAAGGTATGAGGTTTCGTCTTGTTCAGTGCTTCCTCTACCTGCCTTATCCTATCTCTCTTCTTCTCTTCAGGAAGTCTCACTGACCGTTCTCTCCCGTTCCACACGAAGCCAATGTATTTTTGCTCCTCCTTAAACTCGCAGTACTTCCCCTCATTCGTTTTCACACCTAACTTCGCACTGGCTTCCACTACTTCCTCCATCGATACCTTTCTCTCATCTGCTTTCCATCTTACGAACAAATTGTCGTCAACCCATCTAAAGACCTCCAGGAATCCGAATTTCAATTTTGTGATTGCTCTCCACGCGTCCGCCGGTCCACCGAAGCTCCCGCATCCCGCTACTCCGCCGAAGGTTACCCTCAAGTCCAAAAGGATCCAGCCTTCCGGTGTCCTGACCATCAAGTATCTCCACTCCTGTGGTCTGGTTGGGATTTGCTGGTAGGCTTTCTCCCAATCAAAAATCCCCAGCTCTACCTCCTCTGTAAGTTCTTCAAAGAATCTCGCTACCTTCTTAAAATCGTCCCAACTAGTTTCAAACTCTGCCTTGTCCACCAGTGAATTTACTGACACAATGTCTTTCCTCCGTTTCGGGTATGACAGATCATTTATTATCCTCGTCGACCCGTCTCCGTTTACCACCATGCCCATTGGGCTGGTCCGGAAGAAGCATATCTTCTTAAACACCTCTTCCTCAGTAAACGGCCCCTTCATTCTTCCTGCTAGCAATTCTTTCTTTAGTTTTTCTCTAAATTTTGTTTTCTGCTTCCTTGGACGACTTGTGATTATCTGGCGAGTACCACTTCCTTCCTTGTAGCTTGTGCCCAGGGATCCCTTGGGAGAATCCCTCTCTGAACCCGTCTATTACGTAACCGTGATCATCCATTAGATTTAAGTCCTTTAACTCTTTCTCCCATTCGTCGATGTTCATCTCGCACTGTACCCCTTCAGGCCATTCCCGTCGCTCCGGGTAAGGGTGCGTTTCTTCTCTTTCTCGCACTCCTGAAGACTCCATCTCTTCTCTGCTTCCTTTGACGTACGCCAACTCGAACGCCTCTTCGGGTCCTTCCTCTTCTGACGTCCGTGATTTCTCCTCCTCTAGGTCATCCTCTGCACGATCCTGGCCTTCTTTTACTTCTTCCCAGTCTGTTGTCCGGCTCGGTATCGCTTCACTTAAGGATACCACACCCTGTTCCGCCATCTTCTCACCAGCTTCACCTTCCTTCGCTCGGTCTACTGTCAACTCTCTCTCTCTACCTTTCTCTGATGTCACTCTTGTGAGCCTACTAGCGTCTGTTAGGCTAGTAGAGTCAATATAAAGGTTGTAGAAAGTCTAATAACTTCTACTAAGGTTGTGTAGATCAAGATCTACAAGTGTGAAAGGGTATAGACGTGGGCGTAAGAGATTTACTTGCAATAAACAAGTAAAGACTGCAGTTAGTTGACCTTTAAACAAAGGCTTTAGCCCAGGGATTTTGGGTTAATTATTGTCTTTACAATAATTAAAAAGAAGAGCAACTGACACACAGTTCTCAATCCTAATTTGATCCTCTTCTATTCTAAGAAAGGTCAAAGAAGGTAGTGTTAAGGTCTATTATAACACCAGGAACTTTACACTCTGACTAATAGAGATTTCCCCGTAGATTTAGAGTTTCTTATATCAGATGAATCCCAAATCTGATATGAGCAATACTCAAGGACTACTTCCTTACAAGTAATTCCACCAAATGGATATTACCAGAAATACTGATTATGGAGTCTAATCAGAAACAAAGTTGAATGAGCACACAGAATAAGCAACAAGACACAAGGTTTGAGTTTCAAGGTTCGTAGAATCAGGCCTTTAAAGTTTGGTTATTGAAAAGCAAAGTTTAAAGGTTCTAGGAAGATGAATAAAAGCAAAGTTGTGTAGTTGTTGAATAATAATGTGATGATTTTCCTCTTCTCAATTTGGTTGGATTTCCAGGGTTTATATAGTCTGAACCTTGGAAATCTTTGGACTACAAGTGCGCACAAATTGTGGTTCTATGGTTAGGTTAATTACAGTAAGACAGTTACTATTGGATTATAAGTATATTTCACTTGTTACATATGTGTTACGGCTGTGAAATATATGTAGCTTTGGTTTGTATCAAAGTTATGTATCTTCACACCCTTTGGTGTAAGTTCTGCACATGTTACATATGCTAAATCATATGTAACTTGACTCTTGAAACTGAGCCTTGAGTTGTGATTGCTATTTTTAAGGTTTTTATTATAATACGTCGCCCATTGGTACTCTGGTTTAGTACTCAGGGCTGACAACTCTCCTCACTGTGGGTCTGTTTGGGCAAATTGTGGGTCTGTTTTTGGGCAGATGGGACAAATCGTATGTTATTTCATTTCTTTCTCGCATCTTTCTACACCGCAAAGGTTCACATATTTTTGTTTCTCTCCTCAGAACTTACTCTTTACTCCCCGACTCCACTACACCGCTACCCGTTCCTCCTCCGCGGTTCTTCGCCCACCACCCTGGTCCTCTCCCTTGGAACCACCCTCTTTGCGATCCACCTCTCCCGGGATTGCCTCTCCCTACGGTACCTCTGTTGCTTCCGCCTATTCCTCTTCCGCGGCCTCTACTTATCCCTGTGGTCTCATCGACTGTCAGCTCCCTCGTCGCTCATTCCTCTTGCTCTACTAACTTGACACTCACCTCTTTGATGTACGAAGTTCCCCGAACTGTACGTTCCCCACGTCCCGACTTTCAGTCTCCCCGTGTTTGGGTCGTAGCTCTCTCTATCGCCGCCCTGGACGTATGGGTTGTCCGCGTAACTTCTCTCGCCTTTTGACTCCGCTTCCTCTTTCGCCTCTCTCAGTAGATCTTCATGCCAGAAGCCTGCGTCATCCATTACACGATTTCCTTTCGCGTCCTTCATCACTTTCATCACCACCAGTCTCACTTTCATGTCGTACCTTAAAGCGACCATCCAACATTTTGTGATCCGCTTCACTTTCACCACGTTCTCTCTATGCCTTCTAAACATCGCTGCAGCTTTTGGTCTGTTATACTCTTCCTCAAGATAGCGTATGAATAGGTCCATTGCGTCCACCCAAAAACCGTATGTCATGAAGAGTTCGTCGTTCGGAGTCAGACCTGAGTGTGTCGCTGACATATCATCTTCTTGTAACTCCTTTAGAGTTTTCACCTTCTTCTTCCCAGCTGCTCTCTGGTCCTTCTCAATCCAACCCGGCTCAAAAATCGTCAACTGGACGTATGCTTTCAAGCTTTTCATCCGATTCTCGAAGTACGGTGTTAGGGGCATCAGGTTCGAACTACTGATGGGCTGTCCGATCCTGTAGGTAATCCCCCCTTCCTCATCTGCTAACATCACGACGTCAGAATTTAATCCTCTTTCACCACCGTTACTCCATTTTCTGGGCTTACCTTCGCCTTCTTTTCCGCTCTCCTCCTTTCCATCCACGTCTTCTTCCTCTGAATCTTCCTCTACTTCAATTCTTTGAACTTTTGATCTCTTCGCTCCAGACCGCTCTTTCTTTGTCTCTAAGCTTGTCTCTTCTCCGTACTTCTCTCCTCTCCTCTCATCCAGCTTGTCCACCTCATCGTCGTCTCCTCCCATGATCAGGGATTCTGTCCTTGGCCTTCCCTCTCGCCTCCTGCTTGGTGACCGTCCTCTCTTTGGAGCTACCCACTGGTCATCAGGCTCAGGGTCCTCGCCGTACATTAACATTTAACCTTGCAGCATTTCGTTCGCCACACCGACTTGGTTTGAGTTCAACGCATCTTGAATCTGCTTCCACCATTTCTGTCTCGGTGTTTCCTCTCTTTGATCTGCAAACATTTCGTCCGCCATCGTCAGTGTCTATTCGACTCTCTTCGACTCTCTCTCAGGTCTTCTCTCTCCGAACCCCTCTCCTCCTCCAGCGTGTTTCACCCCTCTCTCAACTCTGTACGTCTCGTTACCCCACATTCTCCTCTGTCTCTTTGCTGGTTGGGTTTCCCCCATTCCACCCAGCCTCTATTTCACCCCTCTCTTCCCCCTCTGGGTTACACTCCGGCTCTTGCCTCTTCTGGGTTTAGGGGAATTGCCTCGATGGTGTTAAGGAGATAGAACGAAGATGGGAGCGGATATGTAATCGCGGGACGAGGTTAAGAAGATAGGGTGAAGATGAGACTTGTCACCCTCTACATCTGAGGTGTACCATTTATATGTTATTGGTACGTCATATGCTGACAACAACGCTGCGTCTTCTCTCCATTGCGTTCTCCGCTGACCCTCTCTTTCCTCTAGAACTAGTGTGAAACTAAACGAGTTGTGGACATGAGCTTACCTTCTGCTTCGTTTTCTCCTCCACTTTCACCTCCTTGTTCGCCAACTCCTCCCTCCGCTTGTACCTGTTCCTCCTCCTGATTTTCCTCTTGTTTTCTCTGGTTTCCTTTCTCTTCTTCTTGTTCCTCTTCCATATGTACTTCTTTGTTTTGCTGTTCTCTTCCTCTAGATTGGCTTCTTGTTGTTATCCCAGTTGCGCTGCCTGAGCTTTCACCCGTGTTGCACCTCGCCGCTTTCAGTCCTGCTGCCTTGATTCTATCTTGTGTTTTCTTCAGTTCGCTTGAAAATGATGCCATACCTCTACCCGTCTAGAGTTGGATCGTCTATAATTTAAAATAAACTCCTGCCCTGAGAGAATGTTGTTGCAATAACTGAGTTTGACTGAGATGCGCTTAGTAATTGAGAGTGGAAGTTTGAGTTAGTAACTCTAAAACTTTCCTACTCTCGCGCGAGTGGAATCTCAGACCCCGAGGTATGGGTTTATACCGGGGTTTGTCAAAACTCGTTCATGGAACTTTCCCTTAAGTCGTTCCTTTGTTAAGATAGGCAATGATTGCATGTTTCAAAATGCGCCAACCACAGCGGAAAGTGGTGTCCGCCACAGACACGGCTACAATTCAATCAACATATGTATAAATATCAAACAGAGAAAACATCATGTACAAAGAGAAAATTTGAAAGAGACTTACTTGAGTAGTCCCAGGGACAAGAATCAGAGGGTTATATGGATTGAGAAACTCATCTAGTGCCAAAGAAAACCCCTGCATTCTGAATGTACACTGCTTCCTCATGGAATTGAACTAGGCAAATAGAGAAGGCTGTTTGTGGGTGGACTGGAGATCCTCCTATCTAGCCCATTCAAATCAACCTCACTTGATCACAGGTGCATTTGCAAACAATTATGTCTTTCTTTTGACAAGCTAGAAGACAAGAATTTCTGGTTTAGTTCTGGTATGGGCTTGAGTAAGATAATAGTAATCTTACGCACAAAGAAGATCAACCAAGTCTACCGATTGCATAACAATGTCTCCAAAACCACAAGCACAACATGAATTAAAGTTTTTATCCCAATTTTGAAGATTCCCCATTGAGCGGTCTGAGCCGGCTGGGCAACTTAAGCAACAAACATCTGCCCAAGTACTTTCTTCCACCGGATGTGTTCAAGTAGTTGTTTAGATTTGTAATAAGCTCCTCTGCTTTACTCCCCAAAAGACATATTGACTCGGGGTGTTCCAGGTTCATTGGTGTTGGTTGGAGACAAAGGAAGCAATTGAGATTGATCAGAGTTGTGAAATGGATCATCGTGATGGTCACCAAGATAATCCTGACCAAGCTCCGCATCAGACGTTAAATCTTTGCTGTGAGTAAGTGCATTTGGGTTGGCAGGTTCATGGTTCACATTCCTGTTGTCCATCAGAGCGTTATTCAAATCTTCAGCATTTGAAAGTGCTGATTGAGATTCTATCACAGAGAAATTGGTAAGATCCTGAGAAGACAAGCCAACAGGTTGTGCGTTGGTCCTTGATTTCTTTGCCTTGGTACCTAGAGGACATTTGATAACACAACCCTTCTGATCCATTTCTGATGATAAATTAATAAAAAAAACTGAAATGGATTATTGTAAAGACAAATCACCAGGTAATTGGATGATGGGCGATAGGAAGATGGGAATGGGGATATATCAGATGTCCTGGTGAGGTAATCATTGGATCATGGCCAGCGTTTTCTAAAGACTGTGGAACAAATGGAGTCTCAAATCCATTACTAATTTGGGCATAGGATATCAACTTTATTACGCATTTGGGGATAGGCTATTGTCTTGTCTATCCTCTGCATATCACAGGGGCAAAAATTGATGCTCACAACTATGTGAGCGTTGAAATCTTCCTGATTTGTTCCCATTTGTTTCTGCTTGTCAGCTCATTATGTGATCAACAGAAACTGAGGAGATGAGTCAGGCCTCCCTCAGGCAAAATTCCTTAGCAAAGAAGCTTGAGGGCGGGCTGGCCCATCTGCTCACTTCATCTAAGCCCCTCAGCTCATCCTCAGCGGCATCCCTTGACACCTGCTGATTGGGGGGACACCTGTGGCTGGCTGGGCTATTGTCAAGCTAGCCCCGTGTTGGGTTTTACAACACCAACCCAACCTGTTTTGGGAACAAGGGCAACTGGGTCATCCCCGACAGTGCTGACTGTCAGCTGACAGCAATCACTTTCACATCCCTTTTGCAGACCTTACAAACCCGTGATATCCTTGCAAGTTTTACACACTCCTTTCTTGTGCATCACACCATTGTCATATTTCTTGGATGCACCAGTAATCACAAGAGACTCAATCAACCTTCAATTATCAATCATTAGAACTTGATTTAACTAATCTACAAACTTCAACTTATTTTGAACTCATCAGTTTATTGATCTCTTTAATCTTGATCAATTTATTAATCTTTTGGATCTCATTTTGATTCTCTTCTTTGAACTTTTCTTCTACTACTAATGCTTCAGAAATCAAACAAAATTCAACATTAAAATTAATCAAATTACAAAACAAATCATGGCTTCACTGTTGACTTTAATTAAATTGTCTATTTGATTATCACAAATGTCAAGAAATCTTCATTTTTTACAGTCAAAGCTTTGGCGACTTCATTGGCAGATACCTTGCTCTCACTTTGACAGCCTACCTCTACATCAGTAGACCAAACTAACACACAAACGATCAAAAAAGTAACCGTCCGGATAGAAAAGCCTTCAGTGATCGCATTTGGGGAAACATACACGCTCATCAACTGAAAAATTGACTGCAGGAAGGAACATCACAGGAGCCAACTATGGCTCAGCTTCAAATCTTCAAATCAGTTCTCGTTCATCATCGCCTTCACATCAACTTGATGAATTAGATCATGTAGTTTATATTGGCTTAGGCTCAAATATGGGAAATCGACTTGAAAATATTTCTTCAGCTTTAGATCAACTTTGTCAACCAATAGAATTAGGAGGTGCAAATGCTAAATTATTGGATACACGTTTTATGTATGAAAGTGAACCAATGTATGTTGTGAATCAATCTCAATTCCTCAACACCGCTTGTAAGGTAGATGATTACCTATCCAAAAAATCCTCTTCCATTCAGTAGTCTGACAACAAAGTTTTCTTTCCTTCTTATAGATTTCAACACCGTTAGACCCTTTTGATCTTCTTAATGTGCTGAAATCTATCAAAAAGAGCTATGGAAGAGATCTTGATAAAAGTCAAAGTAACGGACCACAACCTATCGATATTGATATTTTAATGTTTGATTCACAACTCACCAACAAAGATCATTTAAAGATACCCCATATTGGGATGTCAAGTCGACAATTTGTTTCAGAACCATTAAACAAGTAAGGTTTGATTCTTTCTCAAGTCTAGTCTATTCCAGGCTCAAATTGTTTTTCTTTGCACTTTGTAGTATTGCAGCTCATGTACTACATCCACAACATTGTGTCACTATTGGTTCTCTTCTATCACGTCTTACAAAATCAGAACCATCAACAGTAACCCAAATCCCATTCCGGAAATTCATCAAAATGTCCTACTCTCGAGCTTTCAAAATGGACACATCTAATGTCTATCTTAAATTGTACACCTGATTCATTCTCAGATAGTGGTTCATCTTTTTAACCATCTGATGCGATTCAAAAATCTCTAAATCAAATCAAGAATGGTACAGATATAATTGATATTGGTGGAATGTCTACTAGACCTGGTGCAGATGAAGTCACAACTAAAGAAGAAATTTGTAGAACTGTTCCGGTGATTCAAGCTCTAAGAGAAACTCATGATGTAAAATGTCATATTAGTATTGATACTTTCAAGTCAGATGTTGCTAGAGCTGCTGCTGGGGCAACAATAGTAAATGATGTATCAGGTGGTCAAGCAGATCCAAATATGTTAACAACAGTAGCTAAACTAGGAGTACTTATTGTCCTAACGCACATGCGTAGTGATTCAAAAACAATGACTAGTCTGATCAATTATTTTTTTTCTTCTTCTCTTGTATAGAATTTGGTCACTACAATAATGTTTTTTTGTAGTGAAAACTTGTAATTCTTGCAAAGATAAGATCAAAGTTTTTGGTGCAAATTGAATTTGTATAAAGGTGTTATTTTACTGTTTGTTTGATGGTAAAGATTCTATGATTGTTGGATACCTCATGTTCAGGTTGAAACCTTCAATTTTTGGATGTCAATTTCCTCTTGTCTTTTGGAATTAGTGAGACAAGTAGGTGGGCCCAAGGGATCAGAAGACTTTAAAATTCTTCTGTATGATTTTTTTTGTTCAAAGGATGAAAATTGACTGGATCTACAAGTTCAACTGGTTCTGTGAATATTTCAATCACACTGTTGTTCTTTTCAATTATTCACTTTAGAAGCGTATTTATAACAAGTATTGATTTTTTCTATAGGAACGAACATAGGAACCAAATTATAAACTCTCTTTCATATTGGTCATTGAGGTTATATTTTTACATCAGAGTCAAATTTGGTTTAGATTTAAATATTTCAGTGATCAAAGTAATCAAAACCAAGTTAAAAATTTGATATTTTATGAAAGCTCTGTACAAGGATGATCCTAGAAAACCAAACGATCATTGTTCTTTGAGTAACCACTCAACATGTAATGGATCTAGGAATTATTGAAAAGAGTATAATTGCAAGTTCTGATCGATTCAAGAATGAGATGATGATGTTGTTGTAGTATTGAAATTAGGTTTAGTATAATCTTTGAATAGATTGGATTGATATTGATGAGATTCATCAGCATGAATTGATGATCTTTCAAATCTTCTATCTCTTGTTTTATTTTTTGGTAACATTCCTGAAACTGCTTTTCTTAAAATCTTTAAAACAAAAAACAAAACAAAAAATTTATCAAAGGTTTAGTTAAAAATTGATTGGGAAATGGGAAAAAAGAAGAAACAAACCATGGGTGGATTTTGTTCTAATAGTTTTGAATATGGTGTTTCTTTTAATGCTCCTGGATATTGACTATGAGAATAATGAATCTTTTGGGCTTCTTTTTTTCTTGTGACTTTAATTAATCTAGCATTTGCAACGACAACATAATCACCTATATCAACTTCCAAAGGAAAAAAAACAATTATTACTCATCAGCTTATTCATAAAGTGATTGTTATAGTTCTTATGAATCGATTAAAAATTCATACTTCTAGGATCAAAGAATGCTTTATATTTTCCCATTAATTTATTGGCAATTTGCGTTGCTAATCTTCCTAAGATTTGATCTTCTGCATCTGCTTGTCTCCAAACTCTTGCAAAACCAAGTGCGATCTAATATATATATACAGAGAAGAAAAGGGAAAGATCATCCTTTTTATGTCATTGTTGATCGGCTGAAGAGAAGGTTTGGGAACTAACGTTAGAAACTGAATAGGTCATTGGTCGTTGAGGTTAGGAACTTCACCAATCCGTTGGTCTTGAGCAGTTGTGATGAATTGGAGAATGTGAGTGTTGAGATCGAGGTGTAAATCTAGACGAGTCAAAAGTAAAGAAAGAGGGCATTTAACAAAAAGCTTGAGCAGGACCATAACCAGTACAAGCTAAAAATGTACAAGGATGATCAGAAGGTAAAGATTCAGGAGGAACGCAAGTAATTAAATATTTAGAAGGAGAGATTGAAGAAGGAAGATGGCGAGAGTTAATTGGAGAAGAAGAAGAAGGCAAGATTGAAGTTAGATTTGAAGACTAAGGTAAAGAATCAAGACTTGGACAATGAAGATATCAAACTCAACCTGTCAAAAAACCGGTCTATGCTAAAAAACCCGCGGAATTTGAGCCGGGTTCCGGTCGTGATTCTTTGTTACCCCGCAAACCAAATTTCAACAAAAGCAGGGTAAATTTGTGGTGTAGTGCTGACATGTATTGGGAAGGGTGGTGAAAAAAAAGAGTTTGTTTCCATCTTGGAGAGGTTCTGAGCTGTTCTGAGTATGCCTCATGAGCGAATCCTGAATATTCATCTTGGAGACTGAGCCCAAAGAATTCTCATCCAAGAAGAAAATGAGCATTCTCCAGCAACACCAAGAAAAATCTGAGCAAAACAGCCTGATTGCCTGAACACTACCAAACTCATGAATTGAATGATTCTGAAACAAAATGAATCTTTTTTGGAGTTTTCAGGAAAGTCTACAACGCTCACATAGTTGTGAGCATCGATTTTGGCCCCTGTGAATCCCGCTCGTCAAAGGTATATTCATCAGGCTCTGATCTATATTGCTTGGCTTCCTTAACTAGTTGAGAGTCTTCAGCATCTAAGAATTCTAGAGTCTATTGTTCCCCTTGTTGCATTCTGAGCCTCTGACCAGACAAAGAGAGCGGTCAAGTTTTTGAAGCTGGAGCTGGATGGTACGGAAAGCTACGTTGGGAAAGAACTCAAGGCGCAGTCTTTGAAGCGGATGACACTTTTACTCCGTCCGCAGTATGTCTCCTTCTCAGCATCGGACTATGATCACCGATTGTTGAGCACATGCCTGATGATATTATTTGTATCATGGTTCTATTATAGATTATGGCTCGGTTTGACGAGATCAACAATTTTGATCAGGCCGAGCATCCGGAAGACATCACAGACACCCATTTTTTAGACTATTTGGAGCAAGGAAAGCAACTTTCTACCAATCCACAGTCGTCAAAGCCGCTGACTTACCGTGGAAAGACTGTGATAGTCACTGGCGCTGGCAACGGGGTGAGTAATTCTTGATATTAAACAAATGCATTACCATTTTTCTCATATCCATTCCGCTTCCAATAACTGAGGATAGCTAGAAACAGCCTATGCTTTGATGTATGGCAAGCTTGGTGCAAACGTCGTGGTGAACGATATGAACTTGGAAGCCGCGAGTAAAGTGGTGGATGAAATCAAACATCTCGGTGCTAAGGCAGTTGCCAATACTTCATCCGTCGAGGATGAACAGAAGGTCGTGAAGGCTGCTTTGGACAACTTCGGAAGCCTACATGTTAGCGTTAACAACACTGGTATACTGAGTGACAAGAGCTTCATCTCGATGACCGACGCTGAATGGGATATTATTCAGAAGGTTCATCTTAGGTGAACTTATAGCGTTTGTCATGCTGCGTGGCCGATCTTCATGAAACAAAAGTTTGGTAGGATACTCAACACTACTAGCGCTGTAGGTCTGTATCGAAACTTTGGTCAGGTATGTAAAACAAGTCTACTTAGGTGATAAAGATGAGTCCACCTGATGATCATTTCTGGTTCCCAATTGGATGTCCGATACACAATAGGCTAACTATAGTACGGCAAAGGCAGGCATTCTGGGCTTAACTAAGACTCTGGCAATCGAAGGCAAGAAGTATAACATATTCTGCAATACTATTGCTCCAAACGCCGGAACTGCGATGACGGCTACCGTGTGGCCTGAAGAGCGAGTTCAAGCGTTTAAGCCCGACTTTGTCGCACCGCTGGTCGGCTATCTGACCAGTGAAACGAATGAAGAAACTAGTGGTCAGCTGTACGAAGCTAGCGGCGGTTGGTGTGCAGCTATTAGGTGGCAAAGATCATATGGGCTTTCAGTGAGGCATCTCTTCATTCTTGTCTCAAAACGACTTTTAGTTCCACATATAGAAAAGAACTCGTGTCAACTTCATTGTAACAGAAAACAATCGTAATTGTAAGATAAAGAAGTAATACAATTGTAACAAGAAAAGAGTGAAACCATTAAGCCACAGAATTCACGTTGTCCAGCTCCTCAGACAAGCGTAAAACTCTTTGTCTCTGCAGGTAAATATTGGTCAAAAAGCCTCCCAGCTGGGGGTTCTCGTCAGCAAAATACGGAGAAAAACAAAAAAGAGTGACCAACATACCAGTTGTGTTGGAAATGATGATGATATCATCAAAGTATTTCTCCAAGGGTTATGAAAAACCATATCACCCCATACTATTCTTGTCGCCATTTGGCCACCCACCTCCAGGACAGGATTGAATACCAGGCTGCGGTAGTTGAAAAGCAAGACAGATCCCATTTCACTACAAAAGATTTAAAACAGCTGATCAGAAGGAGACGAGAATAAATAAGATACTTACTGAAGGTGACTTACAAAGTTATATTGAAAGTGATGGAAGCACGCAATCCATTTTCATGGTTTGAAGTTGCTGATTGTAATGCTCCTATAATGAAGCCTACAGCTGCTTCAATTCCCACGACACTAATGGAATAAGGTCAGCTTTTTGGGATGACTCAAAAAAAATCAGGGATCTTGCATATATATTGATGAGGATTCATCCAGCAGGGTGGCACCTATCCCCGCAGGACCTTGGGCAAATGATGTGAAGTCCTCTTCCTTTTGGGATTGGGAACTGAATATTAAAGGATTCCTCCATCTACAGTAAAGATACAAGAGTTGAATGGCGGTGAATGCCCCAACTAATTGAGATATAAAATGAATAATGATACGGCATTTTGGTATACGCCCTGAAAACTGCAAAATTACTGTGATTAGCTGATTTCAAAACAGTATCAATGCTGGAGATGACTTACAATGGCTAGCAGCGTAGTCCCAAAGTCTAGATATACCTCAGTACCAAGGAACCTAGCAAGATATTGTGTGAAATAAACTGCTAGTCTAATGACTTTATGATAATAATCAGTCCCAGTTGATAATAGCGTATTGAATGAGCTTACCCAGTGGCAGCAGCAATAAGAATTGATTCATGTTGAAATCCTTTGATGTCCGTTGAACTTAGTACTGGGGAAGAAGCATGAGTTTAAAAAATTAAGAACAGAGAAAACAAGATATGAACGTACAAGCAAAAGGAATTCAACTTATGGTGACAAGAAAGAATGTGCATAAGAACTCTGCGTAGCCATGATCAAAAAGTGTCATGAAAACACTTTGTACAATTCGACTATAGGTAGCGACGCCAGCAAGAAAAGATGATAACATTACGATTTTATTGGTAGAGGGTATAGAGATGATGCGATGAATGAATGAGGATAGAAGATGCAACGAGAGACAAAACGACTTCTTTAAGAGCAGTGGTGGTCTTCTTAGATCAATCAGGAGCCACTCGCTGCTCTTAGTTGGAATCAATAGCGCAATTCAACTCGAGAAGTGCGGACGTCCTGACGCAGAGCCCCGATCGTGTTTTTTAAGGTGGTTGGATCGCGGTCGCCTGAACGGTCTTAAAATTGGTATTTATGACCTTGTAAAATAAGGCACAACGCTTATTCCCTTTTTTCAATCTAATATCCATTTTTGAAGTTTTTTTCATTTGTTTTTTATTAATAATAGGACGTCTGAAAACACCATGTAAATGGCTCGGAGGATGTTCTAATCTTGGAGACTTTTCCCAGCGTGGCATCTGCTGAGATGAAGTGAGGTGAATGATTATTGTGTTGGTAGGTAAATGATCAACGACAATGCGTCACTTAACTTACACAAGACCATGCAAAAAAGGGCATGCTTATGTAATGAGGACCTTGGCGTAGCAGTCTTGCAATTGAGGACTATGAGCTGGAGCTTGATTGCCCAGCCCGCCTTTTTTAGTACTGGAGGGAAATGAGATTCTAAACAGAGAATGCGGGTGTTTACGAGCCTGTTGCTTGAGAATGCGATTGGAATCTATGGAACCAATACACATTCTTTTGAGTCAGACGAGAATGATATTGTCGTTTTGTTCCTTTCTTGCCATCTTTCTTGCTTTGAATATATATCGCACCAAGAATTGTTTTACCCCTGTATCAATCCTCACATCGTTCCATTTTTTCCACTCGACTCACTTGCCCTTCTCTTTACAACTCACATCTTATCAATCTTATTCTGCGATCGTCAATCTTTCATCATGGATTTAGAGAAGAATTCAGAAAGCATTCCTCACACACTTCCCGTCATCGCCCTAGAGGACGATCAGCACATCCACGAACAGCCAATGCATCTGACGAGCAGCATTTCCGAGTTCATAGGGATCAGAAGACTTTAAAATTCTTCTGTATGATTTTTTTTGTTCAAAGGATGCAAGTTGACTGCATCTACAAGTTCAACTGGTTCTGTGAATATTTCAATCACACTGTTGTTCTTTTCAATTATTCACTTTAGAAGCGTATTTATAACAAGTATTGATTTTTTCTATAGGAACAAACATAGGAACCAAATTATAAACTCTCTTTCATATTGGTCATTGAGGTTATATTTTTACATCAGAGTCGAATTTGGTTTAGATTTAAATATTTCAGTGATCAAAGTAATCAAAACCAAGTTAAAAATTTGATATTTTATGAAAGCTCTGTACAAGGATGATCCTAGAAAACCAAACGATCATTGTTCTTTGAGTAACCACTCAACATGTAATGGATCTAGGAATTATTGAAAAGAGTATAATTGCAAGTTCTGATCGATTCAAGAATGAGATGATGATGTTGTTGTAGTATTGAAATTAGGTTTAGTATAATCTTTGAATAGATTGGATTGATATTGATGAGATTCATCAGCATGAATTGATGATCTTTCAAATCTTCTATCTCTTGTTTTATTTTTTGGTAACATTCCTGAAACTGCTTTTCTTAAAATCTTTAAAACAAAAAACAAAACAAAAAATTTATCAAAGGTTTAGTTAAAAATTGATTGGGAAATGGGAAAAAAGAAGAAACAAACCATGGGTGGATTTTGTTCTAATAGTTTTGAATATGGTGTTTCTTTTAATGCTCCTGGATATTGACTATGAGAATAATGAATCTTTTGGGCTTCTTTTTTTCTTGTGACTTTAATTAATCTAGCATTTGCAACGACAACATAATCACCTATATCAACTTCCAAAGGAAAAAAAACAATTATTACTCATCAGCTTATTCATAAAGTGATTGTTATAGTTCTTATGAATCGATTAAAAATTCATACTTCTAGGATCAAAGAATGCTTTATATTTTCCCATTAATTTATTGGCAATTTGCGTTGCTAATCTTCCTAAGATTTGATCTTCTGCATCTGCTTGTCTCCAAACTCTTGCAAAACCAAGTGCGATCTAATATATATATACAGAGAAGAAAAGGGAAAGATCATCCTTTTTATGTCATTGTTGATTGGCTGAAGAGAAGGTTTGGGAACTAACGTCAGAAACTGAATAGGTCATTGGTCGTTGAGGTTAGGAACTTCACCAATCCGTTGGTCTTGAGCAGTTGTGATGAATTGGAGAATGTGAGTGTTGAGATCGAGGTGTAAATCTAGACGAGTCAAAAGTAAAGAAAGAGGGCATTTAACAAAAAGCTTGAGCAGGACCATAACCAGTACAAGCTAAAAATGTACAAGGATGATCAGAAGGTAAAGATTCAGGAGGAACGCAAGTAATTAAATATTTAGAAGGAGAGATTGAAGAAGGAAGATGGCGAGAGTTAATTGGAGAAGAAGAAGAAGGCAAGATTGAAGTTAGATTTGAAGACTAAGGTAAAGAATCAAGACTTGGACAATGAAGATATCAAACTCAACCTGTCAAAAAACCGGTCTATGCTAAAAAACCCGCGGAATTTGAGCCGGGTTCCGGTCGTGATTCTTTGTTACCCCGCAAACCAAATTTCAACAAAAGCAGGGTAAATTTGTGGTGTAGTGCTGACATGTATTGGGAAGGGTGGTGAAAAAAAAGAGTTTGTTTCCATCTTGGAGAGGTTCTGAGCTGTTCTGAGTATGCCTCATGAGCGAATCCTGAATATTCATCTTGGAGACTGAGCCCAAAGAATGCTCATCCAAGAAGAAAATGAGCATTGTCCAGCAACACCAAGAAAAATCTGAGCAAAACAGCCTGATTGCCTGAACACTACCAAACTCATGAATTGAATGATTCTGAAACAAAATGAATCTTTTTTAGAGTTTTCAGGAAAGTCTACAACGCTCACATAGTTGTGAGCATTGATTTTGGCCCCTGTGTATATAGCTCAAAGTAAGATGTACTCAAGGGTCCTTGAGTACGACAAATAGTCATTCACATTATTGTTCTCAGACCTCAAGTATGTGGACATGATGGTTTAACACCTTGTGTCTCATGTCTGGATGATGAATCTGACCAAAAAGAAGATTAATTGTAGATGGAAATATCAAACCACTTATCAAACATGAAGAGTGTTTGCAGTGGCAAGAAGGGGTGTCAAGGAAACAATTTTCCTCGGACTGCTGTAATGGTGCTCTTACTATCAGATCACAAGTCATGAAAGTGAATTAAGTTTATTTGATTGAAATGATCTTGATCCTGACCTGGAATGAATTACCTTGAAAGAAATATCTCTTGTCTTCAGTCATGGAGAAAATCACTTGCTTTGACAATGTCAAGTAACCCTTTTCCTGTTCTTTGTTGATGATGATGAAAGTATTGACAAAGATCAATTGGGTTCACCTATAATATATGTCTTTGATATACTTTCTTCACAATGAAAGTGTGTAGAAGTAAAAGACTGATGACTTATGTAAGTCATCCTGAAAAATTTGCTGATTTGTATCATTTGTTCCTACCTGTACAAAGCATCCAACACTTGTTTGTTCTGCAAAATGACCATCAAATATCCCAGATGTCTATGAAGTACCCCCCAATATGCGCAAGAATACAAAGTCTTTGGAACTTGTGAGGTAATTTCATTTTCTTAAGTTCTGAAAAATGAACACTGTATCATTCTTATCATTTATATATGCCCGATATGGTATGAAGTAGTGGAAATTTGGGTGAGGTGACCCAAAAAGAAAGTTGAGATTCTTATTTTCTTCATAGGTTTCAGTGAAATTGAAAAGGCACTTTTTTGGTTTATTGCAAAAAACAAAAAACTTTTCCTTATGGAGTGTCTTCCCAAAGATAAGCCCCAAATTGCACCAATAAGCTGATAAGTGGCCCAAGTGATGGTGTGTTGACTACCTAGTAAGGTAAATATAAATTACAAAATATCCAAAAATGTTTGTCAAGTTCAACTTTTGGATTTCAAGCAAAACTGCAAAACTTTTAATTGTGGTATGTGTTTACACAAACATGTCAAATTGGGGTCCACAGGCCCACTAAACATGCCATAAGTGGTCTGTAAAACCTTGAATATACTGAAAACTGTCATAAATATGAAAGCCACGCACTTCAAAAATATTTTCCAAGTTTAACTTTTGGGTTAACTTCCAAACCAAAAAAGTTTTAATTGTGGCATGCGTTCCCAAATAAGTATCAAATAGTACTACATGACCACTCATCGTGTCATGAGTGGTCTGTACGCCCGTGAATATACTGAAAACTGTGATGAATATGAAAGCCAAACACTTCAATAATATTTTCCAAGTCCAACTTTTGGGATAACATCAAAACTGAAAAAGTTTTAATTGTGGCATGTGTTGCCAAATAAGAATCAAACAGTACTACATGACCACTCATCATGTCATGACTGGTCTGTACGCCCTTGCTTTAACCACTCAGTGTGATAGATAGAAAAGCCACACACTTCACAAATTACATTAAAGTTCAAGTATTGGAACTGACATAAAGTTGATGAATTTTTATTGAAGCAACATAAGTCACAAGTACATTCAAATAGTAACAAACTTACTCCCAGTGTACATGGACCACGTCTAGTAGCCTGCCCACATAGTGGCCATGGAATATATATTAGATATCAATATATATTTAGTGAGTATTCACAAGTTCTATGCACAATATTTTTATTGAGAACTTCCTCGAGGAAATCAATGCAAATCAAGTCACAAAAATAAGGTATCCAATTTTAGTACATCCCTGGTTCTGAACCAGGGCCAAATTATTACATATGGCCATAAATATGTATGTACATTTAAGTATGTACATATGTAGTCAAGTTGGAAGGGGCAGGTCAGCCTGAATTTCTTAAACTTGCCAGACATCCATTGCAAACTCATTTCATTAGTAAACCACATCGCAACATCACAACTTAAATTTCCTTCATTTTTCCAATCTGGGCCGATAATGACCAACACTCAACAAACACAAAACATATCTCCTCCTGAGGCCAACACAAGAGTCAATTGTTCCGGCCGTGTCCAAACCAATTCCAACACAGACACCAGCACTACTAGAGCCAATCTCACCACCAAAACCAGCACTACTAGAGCCAATCACACCACCAAAACCTCCTTGACTGGTCAAAACACATCAGATGTCTAAACCCAATCCAATTCTGGTCTTTCTGCAGTCCAGGCCACCCAAACCAACCAACATATTGTACATCAGCGTAAATCCACTGAAACCAACCCAATCTTGCAGCCTCAAGATTTAACATCCACTTCTTCTTTTCGTAAATGTACTCTTTGAGTCAATAACAAAAGGACACCTCAAGATGTTGATGATATTGAAAGTGACAATGAACGAAATGATGTCTTTGACCTGGCTATCTTGCATCCTCAAAACACAAAATTGACTTCTTCTTTCCGTAGACGTACTCGTCAAGTCAATACCCAGAGGCCAACTCAAGATGTCGGTGATACTGAAAGTGACAGTGATCACAGTGACATTTTCTTACCACAGCCAGCTGAATTGGACCAATCAGATGACCACAACGACGATGGGGCAAAAACTTCCAAACAACATCAACCACCAGTCAAAAAGTGTCCTCAACGCCAGACTCAACTTAAGCAATCTCAACATGTCACCTCATCCACCACCAACCTGACTTCCACCTTTCCAGCATTGATTGATGTGTGCTTGCCTGCTGGTATCAATCTTGAACTCCCTATGCTATCAAACTACAAGTCACTCGTGATCAAGTGGCCTACTGCAAGAATTGCAAAACTTGAGCAAGACCAAAAACAAGCTGGTAAGAAGCTTGCCACAGCTGTACCTGCGCACATCCAAAAGGAAGCTGAGGCACTCAAGGAACTGTACCATCATCACAAGGAGATGCTTGAATTGATGGGAAATGTAAGTTCGTTCACACTTGACAAATCAATGTAAGTGATTTGTGTCAATATTAGTGGTATCTTGAGTGCTCATCTGACCCTCACTTTTTGTTAGTGGGGACCATGGATTGTCTCGTGGTGTAGGTGCTGACGGCTATCAACTATGGATGAGCTACTCAAATTTTGTGGAAAAAGAATATAGTGAGTCCTACTTTGACTTCAAAAATGATGTTTGTATGTAGATTTGCTTACTTATATTTCATTATCATATCAGTGCCTCGAGCAAGTCAAGGAGACAGTCCAGCACAGTGTAACAAGATAGTTGGCGACAAGTGTACCAGCCTGCCAGATATTGAACAATTGGTTTTCAGCCCTTCCATTGTCTACACTTTATCTGGCCTTCCTCCACCCAAAATGTTAAAGCCACTCAATATGTCACCTGATGAGCATGATGAGCTACAAACACTTTACGATGAAACTGTGTCTACTCCAAAAGTTACTAGGGTTTATGCCTCAATATCACAGGGGATTCCACAAGGTCAATCACTTGCAGACCACAATTGACTTTCACGTAAGCATGCAAAAAGATTAAGGATACAGAAACATTACAACCCATTTGAAAAACCCATTTGAGAAAAAATAGAAAAACCCATTTAAAAAATTATTTTTTTGAACAGAAAAATAAATTGGGTCCCTCTGGAATTTTCTGTTCAAAAAAATATTTTTTTGAATGGGTTTTTATATTTTTTCTTAAATGGGTTTTTCAAATGGGTTGTAATGTTTGTGTACCCTTATTCTACTCCCAGGTACGTTGAATTCCTTTTCACATTATGTATGTGATTCTGCACAGATTTTGACTGGAAACAAACTGGCAGATTCAGAGTGAATCAACTTGTATAGACTTCTCTTATTACTTCCTTGCTGCTGGAACTCATCCTCAAACTTGAAAAGGTAAAGGTTCTGATGGATGGTGTCTGGAGTTTACCTTGCATCAAAACATGGCCAAATATGTTGGTACTAAGTGTAACTTCCCTGTTATATTTGCCGCCCAAACTCACACTACAAAGAATATAATGTTTTCTGGGCAGAAAACACAAATATTGATATACAAAAATATTGGGCAGTCAGGAGGAGGGCAAAAAATACAAAAAAATATGGATATTGTTCCTGGTGTTGAGAGCTTCAAGCTGAGTATTTTTGTGTATTTTTAGAGGGCATATTGTTGAATGTACTAACAAAAAACACCATATTCATCAGATATACACCTGTAACAGATGCTGAAATTCAGTTCCGCAAATTGGGGAGGACAATTTGATTTCTACAAATGATCATAAATTTGGTCTGCGATGGACTTTCAATGGATGTGGGACTACAGACGAGTCAGGTTTGGTGTAGACAGACAAGTCTGAGCATCAGACAGGTCTGTGATGGACTTTGGTCTGGAAAGCTGTGAAAGAAGACTCAAACAGATGAGTCTTTTGGATCTGCAAGTCTTATAAGGGAAGTAGGGATAGGATCCCCTAGGAATGACTCATTTCCTATGTGATACTATTCCAAAGGTCTGGTAGCCAGAGGTGCTCATTCTCCTTGTGGACGTGATCAATGGACTTGTACGTTTTGACAATCCCTTCAATTGACTCAACTGTTGAATGGTTCAGGTGGTTCACCATTTGGTTCAGTGGCGTAATTATTGCACGTGCACCATAGTACACTGAGAGACATTCCCACGCTTCACGTCTGATCACCCCATTTGCTGTGCAATAGAAGTCCCTGATTGGTGCACTTTGTAATCTGTCATGTGATCTGACATTGGTACATCTGACATGTTCCAATTCAACTTTTGCTTTGGTTTGAGTCTGAAGTGATTCCAATCCCAGCGCAAGAAGCCATTTGGCAAACTCCAGGTGTCTTTAGTGTTGTGGTTGTCAGTGTTCTCTTGCCTGAGGCGCATATTGACCGTAAGTTTGTATTTGTCCGTGAGATTAAAGAGGTAGGAGTATTTGAGACACACCCTGACTGAATCCATGACACTTCTGTGTGGTATAACCGGCAGGATCTGCCTGAAGTCTCCAGCAAAGAGGACTACCATCCCGCCAAATGGTAAGTCTGTATTTCTCAGGTCGTGCAGCAACTGGCCAACACACTTGATGGCAATCTTGTCCCAGACAATTAAACATGTCATGATGAGATGCCATCCCTTCACTGTCGTTGGTGAGAAGCTGCAAGTTGAGTCTTCGGTGGCGTCTAGTGGAATCAATAAGGTCAAATGTCCTGTTGCTCCCTCCAACAGTAGCAATGGTGCAATACCGGAAGAGGCCACCAAAACAAATCCTACATTGTTTGCATTGCAGTGATGTAGGCAGGTATTCAGTAGGTAGGTCTTGCCACAGCCTCCAGGGCCGTCAACAAACAGTAATCTGCCAGACCCAGCCTCAAGATATGTCACTACCGCTTCATACACCTCCATTTGCTCCTGAGTCAGCTTTGGGACTGTGGCTTGAAGGAATAAGACACTATCTTCAACACCCACACCGTCCACTTCTGCGTCCAGTGGACTAAGTCCCAAAGGCTCCAACACAGTCCAGTCAATGGAACAAAGCTCCACAGCTCCAAGCCAAGAGCCCATGTTGAGAAGCATGCTTTCCAGCAAGGAAAGTCCGTAATGCTCCAGTTGAAGATCCGTCAGAAGGGTGTGAGGGCAAGTCAGGTCAAGCCTGCATTGGCAGTGGTCAATCAGGTTGTCTAGATGCTTATCCCATAGATTCTGGGGATTTGCCAGTGGACTATGAACCGGGATCAGTGCAAACATGTCCCGTAATATTCCGCCTGTTTTGCAAACGGCCGCTTCCTCCAAGCGCACATTTTAGTGATTGTTGCTGAGTAGGAGCCCTTTTGCGTCCGCTGCGGCACGGTAGGACTTGTGGGCCACCCCTCCAACTGTCTTCAGATGCTAAAAAGATGTTACTCCATGTATTGAAGACAACAACAGGCACAGGTAGTATCTGTCGCTGTGACCTGGTTTTGCAAAGTAGGGTCTTGCAACAGTTGCTGAGTCCTTGACCCGTCTTGACCGCTCCTTGTTGGATCTGTTCCACCAAAAATACTTGGTCATATCTGTGTAGGGGAGCAAGCGTACTGAGAGGAACGTCCTGTTGATCCGCACATTTTCAGCACACAGCTGCATGTATTTGGAGAGTGTTGTCCTAGTGGCTTGGCCAGAGTCAAGGGGAGCCCTGAGCCCAGCTCTGTTCTGAAAGTAAACCATTTGGTTGTTCTTGTTGTGGAGCGTCAACCTAGTTACCGCAGGGTGCCGGCCAGATAGGGCGTATTTTAACAGCCTCCAAGCAGCTGATACACACAAATGTCAGTGGAGCCAATCATCAACTGCAAAGTACCATGACTTACCCTTGGCAGCACCTAGAAACCAAGCGTCAACATAATCTGTGGGTTCATTGTCCGTTTCGAGACCCATATCTTGACAATCATGTCCCTTTGTGATATACTTGTACAAGTACTTAATGGCCTTCGTGCTTATTGTGATCTCAACATTTATGTGACAACAAATTTCAAGAGCAGGAACAGGTTGCAAGGAACGATGTCCCTGTTAGAATAAAAGTTGCCATTCTTTATGAATGTAGAACCATCATCAGGCCTCTTGTGTTTTGGATACACTCCTTTGGTCATGTGAGTAACTGGCTGGTAAGGCTGTGGGTAACCATACTTGCATTTGGCACCATTCCAACAGGCGCGGCCTGGGGACCATGAACCATGTACTCCATGACAAGGTAATATAGGATCAGCTTGGTTGCGTGGCTTGGCATTGTAGCTTGGACTAGCACCTCAATGTCTTCCAGTGTTTTTGGTGTTGAGGCTTAATCAAGAATCACAATATTATGAGTGTGTGGGGAGCCACACTTTTGGAATTCAACTGTGTGTACGTTGGAAACACACATTCCCAACCGCCCACGCTTCATGACATCATGATGTAGCTCCCTTACTTTCATGTGGTAAACACGTGCAAGCAAATCAGGTCGGTCTTCTGGTGCTTGGCCTGGGAGGAGAGCTGCTAGGACTTCTGGCCATGACAAATTGGCAGTCATCATAATAAATAGGCTTGGCTGTCCAAATGCCTTCACAAGAGCCATCGTGTCCTGATATAACTGGTGCATATGTCATAGGCCCCCAATAAATGTTGCAGGAAAGATGATGCTGCTGCCAATGGTCAGGGCTTGATTGTTTAGTGCCTCCATTGCGCCATTGTATAGCTCGGCACAAAGCTTTGTCGGATTTTTCAAAATGTACTTCAGTCAAGCATTTTCAATGCACCCATAAATGTCCACCAAGTACTCCTGAAACAACCTCCCACCTTGTAGCATTGGTGAGAACATGTTCTTACTCTCAAATAGTGTGTATGTGTGCCACTCAAGTGCCGTGACCTTGCCCAGGGGACCTAGCAACATGTATTAGCCTTAATCAATCACTTGTCTGTTGCATCACTTACGTTTCTCGCTAAATCACTGGTAGTGCTCATCCCACCCATGCAAGCCGTAAGCAAAGAACAGCAGGTACCCCAACCTGAAATAGTTTGTGTTTAGCTCCAAGATACACTGGAGCTCGCCAGACTTGCAATGAAGGATACTATCCCTATCTTTGGCGCCGACTATGCCGTCTCCGGGAAGATTTGCCGCAACTTGACTACTCGCAAGGTAGTTGTAATGGTTCAAGGATAGCTTCTGCTGCCTTGTAGAGATTGGAGAATGGGTTGTTATGGTAAAGGAATGCCTGAATGGTTGTGAGGGTCTGGATTTTCATGGGCAAGTTAGCAGGCTTTTGTAGGGCTAGTTCTCTTCTGCTTGGTTTCCAAAGATAATCATTTGCACAAACTTCTTTGGATGAACATCTAGTGGCAGCACAGAGCCAATGAGGTGTGTTAAAGAGCCTTTGATACAATAACTCCAGGTACCACCATCCCCAGCAACAGTTTTGTCTTGCTTTGCGGCAGTCAAAGTGAATGACACCGCGTTGTTGAAGGTACATACGTTTTGCCTGAAGTTTTTCAAGACTATTGACGTGTGCCAGTTTTGCGTCTGCTCAAGCTTGCATGCGACTTACGACTGTCTTGATCCATGAAAAGGCGTTGTAGGAAACCAGGTGTGAGACCATTTTCTAGGTGGTCACTTGGGAGTCCCACCACACCTTGCTGACAGCACGTTGAATAGCTTGCCGTTGGTGCCCCCATTGTCTGCTGTGTTTTTCAAGCTTCCAATGAAGTGCCTTGCATGTGGAACAAGGGGTGTCGCAGGCGCTGACGTTGTAGGGTATTTGAGGAGGGAACTGTGACATGATTCTAGCTTTGGTAGTCTCCTCCATAGTTACGCAGGCAAGGCCACATCCAGTAACGATGTCATCTTCTTCATCTTTGGAGTCAACAGAGAGTGCTGTCCCTGAGTTGCTGCTCATATTGTGGGAGAGGGGAGTTAGGAAAGTCCTACTCGCTTATGGTGTATTGAGTGAATTGAAGGGTTGAGGCTCAGAATGATAAATGTTTTAACCGGGTTGAAGGGACAGAGTGGTAAGCTGCCAGTGTAACAACTGCTTGGGATGTGGAACAAAGCTTCTGAGAGCCAATTGGAAAACTATTGGATCTAGGGACAGTTGCTACAATTGTTATGCATTTCATTATGAATTTAATCTGATTGTGACAATAACATGGCTAGTCAGGACAGCTGGACAACAAATATGATAAATCCAATAGGAACATGAAACAACATGGAACTAGACTGGGAAGGTTCAATGGGAAGTGTAGTTGAGCTGAATCCGCCAAAGTGAGGCGACATCACATCACACCTTTTTAGATCGCTTGGCTTGACGGCCAGCGGGTGCTTGCTTAGAGCCACTTGGACCAGGAACTGGGTCTTGAGGGGGACTCATAACAACATTTCTGTCATTGTCAAAATAACCTTCCTCTTCTGGAGGAGGGGCCCGCTTCTTCCCTTTAGCAATCGCACTCGCGGAGGTAGTCAGATGCACATTTGGAGTTGGACTGGAGTTTGGAACATGCCTGATCAGACCAGTCAGTTTTACTTCTGGTCATACAACAGCCAAAATATGTATTAGCTGGGCGAACCCTCCCGGTAGGTGTAACTTTGGTACCCGCAGCTTGGTGCTTCTTAGTTGCTTGTTTGTGTCCTGTGGCAACATTGATGGCCATTATACCTGGATCTTTAGTGTTAGTAGGGCACTAGCAATTGGCCAGAAGCAGGACAAGGGACAGCTTACTTCAACAATCCATCTGTGCGTGTTGTTGTCCCAATCAACAATGAAACCATGCACAAGCGCCTCTTTTCCATCTTGGATGATTGCTTGGGAACGTTTCATCTTGATGGTTGGGCTTATGTGATATTTGACTGCAAAATCAACGTTGTCACAAAGCTAGGAGCGGTGGTAAGTTGAGTTGCGCAGGAGAGTCTTCAAAACAGCAGACTTAGGCCTGAACCCACTTTGGGCTTGTAGTCTGTATGACTCATAACCAAGGCTAGGGTGATATCATATGTGTCAGGTTCTGGAAGTTTGTGGCGTGAAGTTACCGCTCAGATTACAGATGCAGAAGTGTTATGTAATTTGCCGGCAAATGTGTCTGAGGTTCCAACCGAGATCCTGTGGTTGGATTCAAAGTATAACTTGTAGTCGGCAGTGTCAGGTTGCGGGAACATCTTTGCTTTGATTGCGTAGCAATAAATATCCATTGGTAGTTCCATTGCGCTACAATACACACCAAGATCACCATCATATTCACGCTTGTTGTCGGGGTCCCATCCGCTGCAGGTAATAGCAAAGGTACCTCCTTGGTATGTGTAGTTCCTATTGTCAGCAGGAGCAAGCTGGGAGCAGTAATACTTGTCAGCCTTGAGGTGGTGATAGGTGGTCAAGGACAGGTGAGTTTGCTTACCGTCTCAGAGACTTTGAACACACTTGAGACCATGAAAGAATGGGACTTTTTCACTGGAGCATTCAGCATAGTTTTGGCGCCCGACTTGGACATGCTGGGTTGTGTTGGTATGTGAGATGCACATGGGGATGAGAGTTGAGTAGAAGGATGGATTAAATTGGGTGATGATTGTTTGTTCTGTCATTGAAAGATCTACTAGTTTGCTAGAATATGACACAAAGTTGTTGGGATTGTGGGTGTGGTGATGTGTGGTGAGCTGTGTGGGGGTGGGTGAACTGTTTGGAAGAAGTATCAAGGTGAAACAACAGTGGCATTTATAGTCTTGCTACGGCGCAGTTTTTGTTGCATCTGGTTATGGGTTATCAAGGGCTGAGCAAGGTACTTTGTTTCTAGGGAAGTGGCAAAACCAACTCCAACTTCGATGGAAGTTGGATGGCTAACAAAGCGGACCACCCTGGCGGCAAGGCAGGGGTGAGCGTGTAAGGGTTTGAAGTAAGGGCTTAGAGATGGCTAGATGGTAGTAGATGATGAAATTGGGCCGTGAGGCCCTTGTGGCTGATGTGGGGGACAGGGCAGATGTGATTACGCTATGATTGAAGTATGATTGAACCAATGGGATGAGATTCAGATGGACCAAGTGACACAATTGAATTAAGCTTATTTGATTTTGAAAGCTAGGATCTAAAACACAACTTGATGCAAAGATGAGGAGAAACATCCAAAAGAATGCCATAAGAAGACATTTGAGGCAATACCGCAACCGCTGCACACATTTTTCCCCACCACCAACATATTTACCTTGGCTTTTGTAATCCGAGGTATCCTTGGATGCAAAACCTTGGACAGAAGCTTCCCGAGGTTTTGATCTGAGGTACTTCTCAGGGCAAAAACCTTGGACAAGGTCTGTCCAAGGATTTGCCTCCAATGATGCCTCGGATTTCTCAACCCGAGGCATCTATGCTGGCAGTGCCCGCTGCGGAGGGCGTGCGCAGCGGTATTTGGCACCACTATTTCCCTCCAATAGAGAGCGGAGCCTGAGGGATCAGAATATCCCTCATAGCTTGCCAGTCTGCTACTTAAAAGACTTTCTCCTCAAAATATTCTTCTTTCTTTCCATCTTTTTTTTGATCTTGATCTTGAACGACTCCTCCTCAAGAGTACTTTGGTTAATTCTTCTTTCATAACGTTATCTATCAGCTGGACAGATTCAAATTATCATGTTAGTTATACCAAACAGAGGCTTGGAAAAAAATTGGAACACACCTCTCCAGCTTCCCACATTTGCTCCCAACGTTCGGCGCAAATACCACAGCGGATTCCATGGCCAGACAAGAGCACCTTGAGTTGGCGTGATCCATCTGATTTAAGTTGAACATTAGCTTGATCACGGTGTTGATTGAAATCAGCACAGTGAGCACTGGACTGTGCGAGCTTCTTGTTGACTATGTCCATCTAGAATCAAAACAAAATGAAACAAAAAAATGAAAACATGAAACAGAAGATGAAGAGGAAAGTGTTGAATGAGACTTACATCTTGAGTCAATTGCTTCATGTATGTATCACCTAGACAATACGCTTCCTTGCAATTACAATAATTTTTGGGCTCCTCTTCTTCCTCAATGTCCTCTAGATCTTGATCTTCACACTACACCAGATCACTAATTTACCGCTGAGTTTAGAAAATTAAAACTGTAGAAAAATATCACCAATACAGGGGAGGTCAGAAAAATTTGAAAAAATAATGATTCAATTCATGGGTGCTGTCCCCTCAATTTGCATATTTTTGCATATTTTTGCCATGATTTTTGAAGTCTCCCCAAAACAAAATGCTCACAGGGGATATTATGTCAGAAACTCAAATTTGGTCCAAAACTAGCAATATTTGGGAAAAAAACCTCCAAGCACAAAAATATGAGTATTTTTGCTCAATCATCTGAACACTTGCAATTTATGTAAGCCGCATGATGGCTCTACAAGGTTTATTAATGTGCTGAAGCCATTGTAGTAATGACTTCTCTGCGTATATATGGTTCCTGCTGTGTACATCTCTTGATATATCTCACCCATTCTTGGAGACACACAGCTTTTTTGTGCACCCAAACTGTAGAGCCAGAATGTGGCATTCAGAATGTCAAGACACTACATGTGTTGGAGCAAAATTGATGATTTTGTTGGTGTTGCAAGGTCACTGTCTCTCTACCTGCCAGTTTTGGACCAAAATTGGGTTTCTGACATTATTTGCATTGTGGTTGTAAAAATTTGAAAAAATATGCCAGATGATTGGAATGCACCAAAGGGCCCAACCAATATTTTTCATATTTTCCTGACCCCTCCCAGCTTCTCTATAATTTTCTATGTCTGCTCAATGTTCTAAACTCAGCGGTAAATTTTTAATTTGGTGTAGTGTCAGCATTTGAAACTGTATCAATTGATTCACCACTGTGATTGCTATCTACGTTGTCATCATCATCCTTTCTATCCACAAACTGCAAATATAATGTATTTTTCCAAGGTGAAAAATGATTACATTTATTTCACAAAATGATTAAAAATGCATTAATTCTGCATTAATTCTGCATTTTTCTGCATTAATTCTGCATTATTAATCATTTTGTGCATTAATGTCAATCATTTTTCACCTTGGAAAAATACATTATTTTCACAGTGACATAAGGCCCAGCTGGATCCTTGCGTTGGTGAGGCTCATCGCCTTCTTTGATTACAGCCATAACTGCGACTGAAGGGAACCTACCTAAACCACTATGTCAAATACAATGGGGTTTTTTTCCCAGAGCATCGAGCCCGCCTTTGACAGTGAGGCCCATCTTATGGCAGAAACACTGGACAGACATTGTCTTGGGTTTCCAAGTCATTTCATGACCTGATTGCAAGCCTTTGTCGTATAGCTGTCAGTGCATTTCTTGGAATAAATTGATGTTGTTACTTCCTGAATCAGACACATTTGCAAGCATGTGGGATTCAGTATCATGTCAGTAAGTGAAATACGTAAAGAAAACAGAATGGAATTAAAAGAGAAAAGAAAAGAGAGAGATTAAACAAAAAATAAAATAAATTCAAAGAACACTTATCTTTTGATAAAGATTGTTCTTCTTCAGGATTGTCACCATTGGCTCAGCAAGCATCACACCCTTGTGATGCCACACAACAAGCTTGAAGCTCAAGTGCCGCACTACGTACTTCCAGTCGTTGGTGATAAAAGGGACCAAAGTGCCAATGAAGGCATGCAGATTGCCTTTGACGGTCCATACATCTTGTATGAGGCAAAACTTGCTAGTCAGGTCCTGCAAGAAACAGATGTGAATGAGTCAGCTCCTATGAATGCATATTCAACTTATAATTAATTTAATCTATTAAATGAAATCGAAATGCACATACATTGAGCTCCTGATTGATCACCAAGCTACCAAGTGATAGATACAACCATTTTGCCTCATTGGCCACCCACTTTTGACCAAACACCCGTGCATCAGGTTGTAACCAGTACAAGATCGATTTGAGCAAGGGATCATCAATTCTTTTCAAAGGGAGAGCATGAGGAACCTGCCAAACAGTGAGGCACTGATTGAGTGTTTGGTTTTGTAAGGTAGGTGCTGGGGTAATAAAGGTTTTGAGTCCTCCTTGATGATCTTGCTGGCGACGCTGAATTTGGAGTTCCAAAACCATTGGTGGAAGTTTGGCTCCAGCCGTGATGGCCTGTTGACGACGGGGACAGCCCGCTGTGGAAAGTAAAAAAAAACTCTCAAATCTCATCCTTTTTATACATATGATTTTGCTCAAAGAGCTCATTTTTTACTCACAAGCGCTCGCAATCAACTTATGATCTTGTTCTGAATCAGATCAGAGGAGTTTTTCAGTTAATTGTAATTCAGTTTTTTTATTTATTTCATTCAAAATTTATAAAGATAAGTGGCATACATCAATAAGCACAAATAATTCAAGGTGGATTAGGTAAAAAAAATAAAAGAGAAAAACAAAAACAAAATACAAAGATGAGTTAAAAAGAAGGAAATCAAAACAGAGGCAAAGAAAGATTGGTCGAGTGGAGGAAAAAGAGAGAACTTGGGCGGAGAGAATGATTAGAAACTTACCTATCAGAGATACAAATCAAAAGAACAAAATAGAAAAGAAAGAAGTTAATTGATAGAAGGTTCTAAAAGCCAAGAGATAAAGAATTAAAAGATACAAGAAATGATAGTTAGTATTAGGTAAAAGAAAAGGCAGGAGATAAGATAATAGAAAGACTCACGTTACTAGATTTAAGTTGGTCAGAGCCTAAGACTTGAATGGAATCAGGATCAAGCTCAAAAATCGAAATCGGACCAAAAAAAGAACAGAATATAGTGCTTATCCCTGAAAATAAGGAAATCAAATTGGAACTCCAAAACCTATCTCCTCCGCCAAAACTGACCTTTTTTGGATTCCAAAAGTGGTTTTGGAATCAGGGGATTGAGGACTATGTGTCTATATCTTTTGGGAACGATTGATGGTTTTTTCTTGCTTTTGAAATTCCAATCCTTGGGCACAACCCCCTTCTAGATTTCCTTATTTTCAGCAATAAGCACTATAAGTAAGTATCATGTGGAGAAGGAAGGAGATAAGAGAGAAGAACTTACCTGGTATTTAAAACAAACAATGGAAGGAAAAGATCAAACCAAAATGAATAAGGGTAGTGGAGAAGGAAGGAGATACCAGGGAAGGAGTTAAAAAGAATTGGTCAGAGCAAAATGAAAAATAATTGGTTGGGGTTGGAGCTGGCAAAGGGTATGTAAGGAGGTCTTGTTGTTGTTGAAGAGAAGGGGGAGTGTGTGGAATCATTGTGTAGGATTGTGTCAAATCAATCCAGAGTGTTTTGTGTGTCTGAGTTGTGTGTTGATTAAAGCGTGTTATTGTCTTTCTTGAGATTGAGTCAAGTGATCTATAAGTGAAGATTCAAGAGTCCTAGGATTAAAAAAAAGTTTTGTTTAGTTAGTTATTAATTAGAACAAAAGCGTTAGAAAGAGAAGGAAAAGAAAACAGGACTTACTTTAGGGTGCGTTCACTTAAGAAACTTCTGACCAGAAATCACATTCTGT